TTGCCTTAATATTACTTATATCCGATAGAAAATGAGTTTATATCGTCCTAATAATATTACCGATGAATCATGCAGTGTGACAAGTTTAACCAAACCATAACTTGTTTCATTTATTAAATAATGGTTTTTACATAAAAATACACTACTCGTAATCCTCTACATTTTTATAGCTTTTGAAGAAATGAAGATGATGTGTGATGGTTTCTTCTACTATCTGCTTCCTATCAAATTAAACACATCACAGTTAAACTATACAATCAGGCAACCAATTCGGAAATTTCGTCAGTTTAGTTAAAACGAAAATGCATTTGTATTATCTGCTCTTTTTGCTAGGAGTGACATTTACTACTAAAAACCTCGTAATCCTAATAACCTTGACAAGATCAACAACGTATAACGAGTGTTTCATTTGACAATAATAATAATAATAACTTATGAGTATTGGATGTTGAGCAATCCAGAAACTACTCAGAATTGCTTATTATTTCAGAATACTGAAAATAAAATAAAAATTCGATTCATTTTATCATATAACACCATCGACTACTGAAATGATGACCAGTATTCAATTGATTCTATTACGAATTATTGTGGCATCACTCTGTCTTAAACTGACGAGTATTTTTAATTACCAGTCTAACACTTTTAAATTCAAATCTCACTATATTTCGAAGAAAAATAATCTTCACAGATATTTGAAGAAACGATGATGTAACGACTGATAAGTGCTGAGAACATTCATCGAACTGATATCAGTCGGTACTCAGGAATCATATGCACCTGATTATTATGTAATTCAAGTCAGCATAACAGAGTTCTAATAAATGTATATAACAATAGCGAATACAAATGCAAATGATCATAACATCAAGAAGCATCATATTGAGGAAAAAAGACAAACGATTCATTAATTGTAATGTACATATGAATTGCGTAATTTTAAACAAAGGTGGACAAAATTATAAAATCAATTTTTTAATCTGGCTATGTGTTTATTTTATAGCGCTAATGATTATTGTTGATACGAAAACGTCAATAGCACAGAAAATAATTTTTAACTTGGAAATAGCAAAAATCTTAGAAAGACTGGAAACATATCTTTTACACATGAATTTCTTAATCCTTGAGTTTAATAAGCAATAAACTTTAATGTTTCAAAAATTCAGAAATAGAAATCACTTTGCAACGGTTAATCAGTATACAATTCAGTTAACTGGCTTTACTCATTTAGTAAAGTAAGGTGAACCTAGTAAGATGAACTTCAGTAATCCTCCCGATAAAGCCGCTTTTGGTTTATACTGAAACCTTAACAATTATTTATATACCTGGAGTGACGGATTATCGAAAATATGCGGAACTCTTAGGCAGTCATATCACTTTGGACCGGTCTCTAATTCAGACTTCTACTGTTGCAAACATTTACATCTACAGCAGGAAAAGTATTAAACTCATCCTTCTGCTATAGTTTTAGTTATTGAAAATTCTTGGTGCTTTTTTAGCATCTTCAACCATAACAGTTTATCGGCTCACCAATGGACTTCACTGTGGACAATTGATCGAGTGTGCAATGAAATTAATCTTCCTGTTTATTTCCATATATATCATATTTAGGCAAACCCCATTCGTACGACGGCGGTAGTTAGAAGCCAAATAGGGAGTTCTGGATTAACTTATCCTATGCATTCCTCAATGCAGACATACATGAGAATGAAAGCATATAAGCAAAGCGAAGCGAATCGTAGACGGCGATTGAGCCAACTCTCCGCCGTTGAAGCAAAGACTAAGTATTTATAGTCGGGCAATATTAAGCTAGACAAGTGATAAGCGAGTAATCGTCCACACACAACCAAATATACAATAATCGATACTGTAATCGAATTATTACAAATATAAAAAATGGTCGATACATTTATCGAACAATTCAAACGACAAATCACTGAAGTAAAATGAATGAATGGTGACATGCTACAACAGTATCATACTTGTAGTGAAATATTTCGTATATTTCTCCAGATAATAAATCAAGTCTTACTTAGAAATATTGCTTTTGATAAAATATTGCTCCCACTCTCAAAGTGCCAGTAAAATGAAAAGATACTAAATAACTGAATTCTACAACACGGAAGCGTTCATGTGTTGTACCAGTTTATCACAATACTTTGAGAAATCTAAAGAATTTGTACCAGTGTAAACATATAAATGTATTAATGAAACTTTACTCACCACTGTGAGTAGTCTAATATAACGGAGCGTGATTTTGCTAAAATCAGTCCTTCAGAGTATTTATTAGAAAAATCCGATCAATGAAATTGTGATTACTTGATGTAACTTAAACGAAGTTGGAACATTAAGTTTACCATGATGATATGTGTAGTGTAACTGTGTTGTAATCAACATGGTGCTTTCACATTATTCGCTTTACTCGGTTCTACTCATGCACTGAGCTACAACAGCAATGTGTTTGGTAGTTCACCTGATCCATCTTTCTCTACAAAATTAGTCCTTTTGCAGTACTTGATTCTGAGCCCTAGGACTTAATAAACATGATATAAGTTAGTACTGAACATTCGCTGAATTTAATTTTATAAAATTTCACAAAAATCACTCAGTACCAATAATACTTTATGTCATTAGGTAGTAGATGTGCTATATTTAATGAAAATGCCCATCTTTGCAATCAGATATATGTGGGTATTTCGTTTTATATTGACTGCTGATCCCTACTGTTTACTAGGTTGTATCAATATTTTACAGTTATAAGTTAATAAATTACCCCTAGTGTCATCTTATTTAAAAGACCAACAGCCGCAGTGCGCGCTACTTATAAGTAGTATATGACGCGAGTAAAAACGTAATGTCTGGCAGCAGAAGATGCGGGAAGATCAAGAAAGGAAGAGCGGGAACACAATGGGATTTGTATGAAACGCACGAACAGTGAAATGTCAGACAATGGATTGATGTTTGCAACAGGAATAGTCCTGTTCTATATGATGGATTGATATTTTGCAAATTAACGATTTACGATATGGTTTTCCTATTTTACCAATTAACTCTGTAATTCGGTTGCCCTCGCCTGAAGTTCTTCACTACACAACGATTTAGACGAAATCACATGAGATAACTATTAAAAAACCTGGAAGTGCTGAATGCTAGCATTGTGACCTAGTGCTTTGTCGCTCATCACGATGACCTAGTGACAAAACCGAATGACTGGTCACTTAGATTAAATTCAATCGTAAAATTCTAAAGATTAGAACATATTTACTATTACATAAATTATTATTATTGTTAAATACCACAGATGTTAAAGTTAGTGACTTTCAGGAATTTGTAGCTAGTAGACGTCCAAATGGCGTTTAGTTTTTGTCACATTGAACTACATCTAAATAGGGGTGAAAATCTGCCAAAACATATGTCTTGAATTCCATCACTAGCCCAAATTCAAAAATGATACAAATAAATTTATTTAAATATTACAAAATTATTATCTTTTTTTTTGAATTAGATTAAGGAAATTTTCTATTATTTGGGTTAGTTATTAGAATTATGTTTTTTTATAATCAAAAAATTGCCAACTTCATTGATCAGGTCAGATAATAATAATAATAATAATTAGACTAGGATAGAAAAATTGTACTATCAGACAATGTTAAATTTTCTACGATTAGTATAAATACTTTCACATACTCAATTTTGATATTACTTCAAAAAAAACTACACTTAATGAATGCGTTCACTGAAGATGAACAATCTTTTAGTTGTTTCGAAATTTTTCCTGGATCTATGGTTTGAAAATATGAAAAGGTATAAATATAACTAATCGAAAGTCCAACTTATAAGGTACATATGTCAAATCTTTCAACAGTTCCAGCATTAATTATAAATTTGTTCTTTGAATTATGCAAATCTACGTCTACAGTGATTGTTATGTTAAAATTGCTGAGTTTTTACTATGAACATTTGTATATTCATAAATTATAAACCAAAACGTTATATTTATCCACTACTCTGTAATGTCCAATGATTAAATTTATAGATTTAACCACTGTTGAGATGATGGTAGGCATAAGGAAAAGTATGATTAACAGTGATCAATGAAGTTGAAAATAAAGTTTAAATTTGAATAATGCAGTAACTTTCTAATCATATTTATGCATTTCGATGAAAAGCTCTAATGTAAACAAACCTAGAAATAGATATATCTTAGACAAATTAATGTTTCATTAGTAAAAAGAACACATGGGGATGTCACTCGATCGTATTGAAATTTTCTACAGATTCCCACTTAATCAATCTCTAAAATATAATACTTCATAAATTTTCCTGAACTATGCACATAATCAGCTTCTCATGTTCTTCACTTCCATATAAAGAAGTAAAGTCATTGTAAATCATCGATTTTTTTATTTGTAATAAAACCAGTTATTTTAAACAAAAAAAATTATTTTCACCATTCATTTCATTGTGATTATTGACTTATAAATTGCCCTTGATTGATTTAACATTTTCATATATATATATATATATATATATATATATATATATATATATTCATGTATATCAGAGTAAAGCCTGATCACGATCTAATCGAAAATAATATTGTTCGCTTATTTATATGTATTGTTTAAATACAAAATCGTATAATTATTTTTAACAACAAATAATGTGACTAGTAAATAAATTTATTGATATTATTTTACATTTAATTTTTTATCAGTCTGAATGATTCAATGAAACATTGTACGTTGAACTTTTTTTTTGTTTTGATCAATACTCAAAATGTTAATCTTTCATGGATTTTTTTATTTTCTACTGTTCATACAATGAAGACAATGATCATGATCACTGACAACGAAGATGATGAACAGGAAAAAATGAAGAATTTGACAAAAGAATCAATTTATTTTCATTGGAAAATTTTTTTTATTTTTTATTTTTTTTTTTTTACTATCAATTAGTTGTAGGTAAATTTTTTTACTGAATTTTTAACTTTATTATTATTATTTATGTAATAAAAAATCTAATGTTCTATTATCACATATAATTTGACGATATTGTTTACGATGTTGTGTAAAATAAAATAAAATTAAATCAGTAAATATTGTAGCTAGATTAAGTAAAGCTAAACCTGAACCAAATTTCATAGTAAATGATAAAAGATTAAATTTACCAGCTAAACCATTCACTCTAATAATAAATTGTATACCATTCGCGTGAATCAATATACGTCGACGTTGTTTCATGAATTCTGTATCATAGCCATAATATGCTGTAATACGTATATTGGAACCTTCATGAACTGTGATCACTTCTTCATCATCATCCACAATATCATCCTCATCATTATCATCATAAGATCTATATGCTGTATAAGTATAATCTAATGTTGTATCCGGTGAATTAGTTGTCGATAAATTTAACCAATCTTCATTACTATGATTAGTTTCATGTAATTTAGAATAAATTTTATTGTTTGATTTCATTTTTCTGATTTTATGCACACTTTCTAATTCTAAAAATTCATAATTTGGTAGACAATTTTCAATATCCCAATCTAAATCACATTGCCAATTAATAGTGATAGCTATGACACCGCCATATTTCAATAGACGATTTGAATTGATTCCAGCCAATTTAAATATATCATTTAAACGAAATCTTGGACAATATTTATCAATGGAATGTTCCGGATTATATAAACAATCTTGTATATAATTTTCTGTCATCCATGATAAAATATTACTACGTTTTATTTTGAAATTAGGAAATTCTATACTATTTTTAATCAGTACAGTAAAATTGATCACTTCAAAAAATGGATCAACTATACGTACTGTACGCTCATTAATTCGACGTTTATTATCTAAAAATTCTAAATCTGTAAAATAATTATAAAATTTTTCTAAAATATTTGGTGCTTGAAGTAATTGTAATTTTGCATGACGTTGTTTACGCAATTCATATTCATAATCATCACCAGTTGGACACCAACCGAATATTTGACATTTTTTATAATTAATCAAACATTTTCCAGTGAATATACCATGACCACTTTCCTCTAGTTCAATATTATTCTCATCTGGTACAACGCCATCAGCACCGTACACTTGATAACCAGCTTGATATCCAATTGGACAATGCTGATCATGTTGACATTGGGCATCTGGTAGTCGATCCACTTCACTGCACGTTGTCATACGTTGTACTACGAATTGTTTAATTGTTGTAATCAAATAAAAACCGGAATTTTGTGTTGGTTGTAATAGATAATCACCGCTATCCAATACAATAATACCATTTGCATCACGATTTTGATATTTAAACACTTGTTTCCATGCTATCCCATTGACTTTAACAGTTACACCGCTTATTGGACGATCAAATGATTGATAACCTTTTTTTAACCACATCACATACATGATAAAATAAGTTAATATACAGAATTGTATGAAACGATGTAAAATAGCTAATTCTGGTTTACGTATAAGAACAACACGTGGCATTTCAAAGATAAACATTGTTTTGTATAGCATAAGCGTTTGGAAATGAATGAATATTATTCCAGTCTAGATATATATATATATATAAGAGAACAACAGTAGGCGAATTTGTATGATACGTACTTTTTATTCTTTTCGCCTCCGATAAATGTGTAGTCTGGATAATTTTTGGTTTGATAAATTTAGTTGTTCATTTTTGTTTCCTGATTCTATACTGGTTGCACGATTGTCCAATCATTTGATGCGATGTTGAGTGAGACTTTGAACTCAATGTTTCATTTTGCCAGCTCATTGTATTTTCACTCTGCTATAACAATAATGTTAATAATAATAATAATAATAAGTATTGTTATTATTTTCATTAGTACTCTTATTATGATTACTATTATGACTACTACTATTCTAAAGTATAGTTTTTAGAATGAACAACTATTATCTTGTAAATATTCGTATATGATTTATGGTATAGTATATGTGTAATATCTATTGAACATTTAACAAAAAATGACATACGCCAACTGACATTTCGGGGCATGAAATGGTCGCAGTAGTTGTATTGTTTAAAAATATATATATATATTTTATTCTATTCTAAAGCATTATGTTGTAGTGTCCCATTTACAGAGTTTATGTCATAGTTTTATGCATGATAAAATCATGCTTTTACATGTTATCCCCTTTTGTAATTGTTATTGCACTAGTATGTGTCAACTTTATGCAAACAATTAAATTGATAATTATCATTCAATGCTATACTAAACCATTTGTACAAACATGCCAATGAGTAGTATTTTGTTTTCCACATTTAATGAATGATTAATATTATTTTAGTTATGTTGATATTTGCATGATTCAATTAAATGCATTCATAAATAAGTTAGCAAATTACTGATCTGATAATATATTCTCGCTTTACTATAAACCTACTTTAATAACTTCATTTAGGAAATGAATAAAAGTTGTCATTTCATAATATTTTAGTTATTTGATTTGTTAATAATGCATAACAATCATTATTAGGAGATTAGAAATAAACAGATGGAAAACAAAATAGAAATTTTATTCGGTATTGAATACTATGAACACAGATAATAAATATATAATTTCATAGAAATCACGAACTGATCAGTGTTAGGCTAACATTTGAAACCTGGAAGCATTGCATTGTAACAGCCATTATTTTTACTAATATAGAACTCATCAGAAGTGCGCATCCACTACCCCACACTTGGGAATCAAATCTAGGATATTCGGTCCCTCACGTATGAACGTTTAACCTCTAGACCGTTGAGTTCTGGTGGTCGAACACTGATCGATTCATAATTCCAATGAGATTCAACAATTTCCGCAACCCTATACTGAAAATCTTCGGGGAGTTTTGTTCTCTGAGTAGAATGGTTTAGTCCTGGAGCTGTCACTGTTTTTCTGAGCAGCATTGTCAACACAAACTTCATGTAGAGGTAGAGTATTTGCATTTCTTCACTTATGACTCCCAGCTTTTCTTGTCGACCCCAATATTGATTGGTCATTGTTAATCTTTGATCTGTCACTATCCGCATGTTAATTTTGATTTTTGATCTCTTTTTGATCTGATTCTCGATCCTGTATTTGTCTATGATCTTTTCGATTGACTAATAAGTTGGAATGATTTTGATGTGTTTGTTGATCTGAATGCCAAGCTTCTAAAACTTATTTGGTAGTTCTTGGAGGTCCCAAGATCGCAACATTTTTCCAGCTCATTGTCTGCTCATATTTATTCACATAGATTGGAAAATCAGTAAAGATATATCATAGCGTTTGACCACTAGTTGATGTTCATGCAATTAAATATGAAGTAGGCCTCTTCTATATGTCCAGAATAGCAATGAAAGTTTCATAGCTATACCATCCAGCACAGAAAATAAATCTTCAACAAAACGTTTTGCCTGTGTTAATATTCACTTTAAAACGAATGCAACTCTAAATGATATTTTTTTCAGTAATGGGATTCACGGTAATACAGGAAAATATGCAAAGTTTACATCCTAAAAAAGCAAACGCTGACTGTCCATGTTCTTATTATGTATAATTTTAGATAACGCCAGTTTATTGGTGAGATCATTATTCAGTGTTTAACGGTGTGACCATCAGAAAAAATTGTTGAGGATCTTAGATCCCCAAAACTCGCTTGTTAAATGCCTTATTTTGGATTTCACGTTTGCCAGCATGGGCTGATCAGTTGGCCTTGAGATTTCATTTCCCACCAGGAAAATCCATGGCTGTGATTGGCTACTGTGTATTTTAATGTGCTATTTTCGTAACTGTCCCAAGGACGTTTCTATGATGTATAAATAAACGAGAGTTGTATGCTTGATTGTATTGTGTGATTGCTAGGTATTGTAGAATATACTTTCTACGTTTACCAAGTCTTCTGTTTTGCAGTTTGGGATTCAAGGTAGCCTACCTGGACGCTGGTAATTGTCTCGTTCGCATTTATCGACTCGTAATAGCTTCAAGCGTACCTAATGACGAACTTAACACAGTTATCTTACTATGCATCTAGAAATCTATTTTAAAAAATCTATAAATGACAATCATATAACTGAACCAATTTCTCACTTTTTTTGTTTAGAAAACCTACAAAAAATCAGATAAAACGGTTATATAGTTTTTTTGCATGAGAAATATTCATCATTAAACATTGCTTCTTATTACAATCACAAATTTATGATAAGCATTTTTTTTCTGTCTTATATAAGTTCATTTCTGTGTATAAAATCTATGAACAATGCTTAAAAGATTTACTGCAATCTATTAACAATTTAATCACTGTCTATCAAAAATAAATGTTTGTTTCGTTGAAATGTATTTTTTTAAGAGGTGTTGGAAAAAATTCCAATGTAATTTTGATTATACATTGAAAGTAATCATTCATTTTGAATTAGATATTCTTTCACATTTAATAAATCTATTGTTTCGTGGAAAATGGGACTAGAGATTATCAAGTCTCAAGATGAGTATAATGCACCAGTTGAAATCAAGTATTTCACTTTTAATCTATTCGTTTTTTTTTTGATTACTTTCAAGAAGTTTTCATTTTGTATAAATAGATTCTCCTTGAGAATTTTGTATACTCTTGATAAATGCGGTGGACATTACATGGTCTGAACACTGTTGACTTATTGCTGTTTGACAAACAGGGTTATAACAACAACGGTCATATGCTAAGATTCAAAAGAAAGCCAACTTTTGATTGTAGGTCACATTTTTAGTAACAATTCAGCAACTAATCTTCAACGTAACTGCATGATATAAAAGTATCATTTTTATTATAAGACACGAATACTCTGGATTCGATCGTGTATATGGATGCAGTTGAACACTACCGAGTAGTTTCAACTTAGTCATGAACAAGTTTCTAATAATTCCTGTTGTTCAAAGTTTCTTTACGTATTTAGTTTGGGCATACTAAGTACCTTTGAATACAATAGTTTAGATTATAAACATAATTCCAGTATTTTGATCAATTCTCAATAAGTTTTGTGGACATGAAGTAATTAAATACGTATCCAATATGGCCACTGGTTTTCATGGGGAATCGTTAAAGCAAAAGTATGCAGCCTTTATCATATTCTTGACCTTTTTTGTATGATTTTTTTCTAAAAAAAACGATTCATGTGCAAACATTTCTATTCTATTATGAAATAAATGAGTAATTAACTACAACATCACACCTACGCGTTTATTTGTAAATTTTTCAGTCTCACTAATTTCAATTTATATAAATATCGATTGTTTAACCGATTGTGTAAATTGATAGCCTAATCAATAGGTAGGTAGTTTGTGTCAGTTAGTTGTATAGACATATTGAAGTGTCGAGAAACAGACAGTTTTGTTTGTATGCCTAACAGATGAATGTTCACAAATTCATCCCAATTAGTTAGTACTACATTTGTGTACCAATACTAACCGTATTATTGAGCACTATGAATAAATAGCTTTATGTAATCAAATTTTTTCTAATCGAATAGTGAAAAACGTTCTCAGTCTATCCTGGATCACAGTTGATTTAATTAAATCATCTATTCAAATTGTCTCATCAATAAAATATCAAGAGCCATGGAATATATAGTGAATCTTTACAATTTTATACTACATAAACTAAAAAACAGTAACTCTGTAAATAAATTATCAATTCGAAATTCATTTAAAAAACAATATTAGTTATCGTTCATCCATGTCATCATCCACTGGTGGTTATCATCATGCGATAATTCTATCACCGGCTGTTTATGCAAGACCTTGTTATGCAGATAATATCAGTAATGATTCCGCATATTGGAAACATGAAGATGCAGCCAGACATTTATCAAATCATGTTATGAATAAATATCCGAATTTGAATGTTTTATGTTTAAATAATTCAAATTACATGAAACATGATCTTTGGTCTGATCCAACACGAATTAATGCTTGTCTATTTTCACAAGCTAGTCGGATTGTTTTATTTATACCGGATGATGCAACTGAACACATTACACATTTCAGTCGACATTGTCTACAGCCATTATTGTGTAGATCACGTGATCAAGGTGGGCGACCAGAATGGCATTCACGTTTTATCGCTGTTGCTATTGGTAGTGTACAAGTGCCAAATCAACTGAATTCAGATGTACCATTTATAAATGTGATACGTTTTCGAGAAATAGGATGGTTTCGAGATATTATGGGCATGATGCTATTGGAAAGAGCAATTAAAGGTTAGCGAAATAATAACTTTTATTGAAATCCTAAACCAACTGAAGTTAGACCAATGTTGAAAACCTGGAAACACTAGATGGTCATTTCGCTTTAACATAAGACAGCTAAGCAGTGTGCATCTACGACAGTCATTCAATGTCACGAATTGATTAAAGCCAAATATTCACACCATTGGATACCGACTCAGTAACCTAAAGACTAAGCGTTCGTGCGCGAGACAGAAGATTCTGGATAAACACTGATGAGGGCCACCTTATTAGGACGGCATAACTGTTCAGTGTTTCCAGGTTTCCAGTGTCGATCTAACATTGATCAGTTCATGATTGTAGTGAGGTGCGACTATCTCCACTTAGTAATACTAACCTGTTTTTATAAATATAAAGTAAAATATATGCTGATCTAAATTACCAACCAAAATATTGTCGTTTCAATATTTTGTTTCATTGTTTGGTTTAAAGCATTCAGCATGTTTAAAATATGTAAATATCCAGGCAAATCTTAACTGTTGTCATCTAGTTAATTATAACTGGATCGAAGGGCCTGATTTTGTTCTATTGATCTGAAAAATTGCTTTGACAGTTCATATCTGGTTTTCATTCTTAAAACAATAACTCTGAATGGTAAATTTCTTTGTAATTCTCTTTTTCACGAGTTGCAACTGTAAATTCAAAGTTAAACTTTGAAGTTATCTGCAGACATATCACTTACTGAATTAAGGCATATTAATCAGTTCAAACTACCTAGTTTAAAGTGTGTTAAATGGCTGGAGACCTTACATTTTATACCGAAAATATGACTGTAGGTAGGTAGGTAGGTAGGTAGGCAGATATTCCTTTTTTATCAGCCTCTAAAGTGTAACGTCAACAGTGAATCATTTTTACTAACTTATTTTCATTACCTCTTTTCAAAAAATATTCTTATTTCTTAACTTTGTTTTCGTTTTGGTAATATTCAGTCAATTTCTGTTTCTTTACTCTGTAGAGTTTAACAATTTCATCTATCTTTGTTGATCTGATTTGGTGAATTGGACTTCAGTTCATTTTTTGCTAGGTCTAACATTGATTTTAATGAACTGAATATTTGAACTGCGAACATCTCTGGTGATCATCAGGCCAATATTGTTTTTTTTTTATCTCAAAATTAAAAATTTCAAAATAACATCACTTTAATATAATGACAATAATGTAGAATGCTTAATCAAAATTACAATTTCACGTGATACATTAAGTTTGTAATGAGTTAAACTTAAAATCGAACGTAAATTTAATCAATACAGTCAGGAGTTATTTTATGTTTTAATTAGGATAGTAATGATAATGAAAGTATAAAGAGCAGTGCTAGAATGGTAGTAGTAGTAGTAGTAGTAGTAGTAGTAGTAGTAGCAGTAGTATTGGTAGTAATATTAGTAGAAGTAGTAGTAGTAGTAGTGTGATTTCTAGCTAAACCAATACTTGAGTATACGTGGATGTAAAAATAACGTATCATAAAAGTCAATCAGACATTATAATATTGATGATCACAACTTGTTTTACAAATGGTTGACTCAACTGATCTACATACTTTTTTGATCAGTCAAATGGATTGGATCTAAAACAAGATATTGGTTATTGTGTACTTAGTAGTACTGTCGGTAACATATCTCAGACTTTACGTCATTTCTCTGAGGCAACATATGTCCGCGTAAAAATCTTCATCCATTTCTTTTGGAATGTTAATCAACGTTAAAAACTTAGGTCAATTAAAGCATCTTTTGTATGTCTAAATTATATCAGTATCAAAAAGAAAATTTTTTCAGATGGTGGATCAATAAAAAACATGGAAGTAAATTTCCTTTAAACAACAATATAAGTGCATCTTTATGATTATGACGAAATTTAAAATATACGGTTAGTTAAACTATTCTTTGACTGAAGATCGATAAATTCTATTGAAACAAAAGATAGAACTTCATGACGAGAACAGCGATTTTAATGATACCCCATAAATCAATTACGTCTACACTAAGTTCAGTGACAAACTCGGAATTTAATATTCAAGATATTTAACTGAAACAGCGATCAGATACCTTTCATCAAAAATCAATATATTAAAAATCAATTTAGAACGGAATTCACATGCATTTTCAAAGTTGAGTGCCTTTATTGTGTAAGAGAAACTCAATCTATTCTCTATTTTCAGAGCCTTGATGGATTTGTACGGAGGGCATAATTAATGATGAATTCAATGTAGTCTGTTGAAAATTTATTGAAAATGATTAACCTCTCAAACTCACTTAAACAAATCTGAAATCTGAACACAAAATAGAGCTTTTCAAACTAATGGTATATCTTAGTTTTCGAAGTTATGACCTTTTATTCTTTTCTTAAGCACCTTTTGTTTATATCCACCTATGATATATTTTTATATCAGCTCTTTGTCTTACCCTCTTGTTGGGGTGTTAGATCTTCAGAAATCACTTGATAAAGGTCCTAATTCTACATTTTATGCTTTCGCGCATGGGCTGCTCAGTTGACAATGAGATAACAGTTCCGACCGTGAAAACCCTTGACTGTTATTGGTTGATGTGTTATTTTATTATGCTATTTTTGCGGCGCTCCCAAGCACGTTTCTGTCATGTATAAATAAACTCGATTTGTTTGCTTACAAACCTCGTATTATCCAAGTGCTCCTAGAATACACTTTCTATGCCAGATCAAAACTTCTTCCTCTACTTAGTGAGGCTTGGGACGCTGGGAATAGAGTGTCCTATCGTGTCACTGCATCGTTTGTCTTCGCTCTCATTTACAGACTAAGGTGAACTCGTAATAGTTTCAAGCATATCAACTGATGTGCATAACGTCTTTAATCTTTTAGGTAAACTTTTAGACAAATGAACACATTTACCATTATTATTAATTGAATGTCTGCCTATTTTAGAGCAAATTCATGTAAGAGATTAATGTTTACTTAGTTTTCACATGAAAAAATCAATTTGAAACATCAGTTTACTGGAAGTCAAATATCAGAATCGATTTACAGTTTAATAACATTTAAAATAGTTTACAATACAACTAATGTATGTTGTTGTTTCTATGGTTGTCCTCGTTCATCAAAGCAAACTGGACAGTTGGTTCATTCGAGCTTACCACTTGCCTACAGTGTATGCCTACAGTGACATACATTTATTTGTACTGTGAGTCTGAATGAGATTTAGCCGTTGAATTCCGATTTTGTGTTCCACATTCAGTATATTCAAGATGAAACACGATCATGATTCACTTTCATCAATGGATAGCTGTTCTACTTTCGATTAAGTTTGGAAAAATTCATGTCATATACAACTGTTAGTTAGCCAAACGTCATTATTTGATTGAATATTTTGTGGTAATTTTTCTAAATCATATTTTGCCTTACTAACTTAGGCCTATTGAAAAACTGTTAACATCCAAGATAGAAGTTTTTATTTTGAAATGAATTTGCAGAAGATGAAGAAATTCAATATGATTACAGTGATTTCTTATTGAGTATTTAAGAAAAAACCATGTAAGATGTGGATATTTGAACACTTTTAAAAGTTGAAATAGGTGATAATTGATTGATTGTTTAGCCTATCAATTCTCAATCACTAATAACGGTTGATACTAAAAACCTTTTATATAATATAAATATTTATTTTTGTCATTCAAATGATAAAATATATTTCTTCAAGGTTTAAAACAATTTTCGATTCAGTCAGTTACAACACAGAACTTCGTACATAAATACATAAGTTCAGGTTGCCATACCACATCAGCACACAAACGCAACTGTCAGTTCGAATCCCATAGTGGTAGCGCTAATTGAAGTGTTATCAATAATGGAGAAGATTAGGGAGCGAAGATATGATTCAAGAAGTATAATTCAGTGAGATAAATTTAGAAAGAGAAAGATAGAGATGATGAGCAGTTCAGAAGGTTAGAATTTGAGCGAACACACAGAGTGGATACACCTGCTCCACTGTAAACGATTTTCAGCCATGTTGTTCAAAGCCTGGCAATTTTTGACCATTGTCTGTTGAAAAAAAGTACTTAAGAACAGAATTTTTATGCCATTCGCATGTGGTTAGATTAACACTTAGAATAAACTGAACAGAATTCAATCAGCATCAAAAACGGTAAGACAAACACAATATATTTCACTGCTTGATAATCAGTCAACTGTAATTATTTCAATTCTATAGGAGGTTATTCGTAACCTGAATAGCTCAGTAGAAAAGTTTCGGCTGAATAACGCGTATTTAGATTCGTTAGAGAGAACTATTTCCCCTTAAGTTTGCAAGTGAACTTTGTTGATGAATGTTAAGGAGTACTGACCTAGCTTTAAGATTTATTGTCGGTTATTCCTTTAAACAACAATTTTTCAAAAATCTGCCCAGTATAATAATAAGTTACTTTTTATTTTATAGTTTCTATTGTCAGTTGTTTCTTTTCTAATTGTTATTCGTTTCGGACAGTCATCTTTTTAAAAGTACATATTATTCTGAATACTTCTCTTTTATTAAATACTAACTGATGAACTTCTATTATTTTCACTTTAAATCAAGTTTTATTTTCAACTAAAACATGATTAAAACGAAAGATATTTGTATATGTTAGAGATTGTATACAAACTGGATCACCTTAACTGATGTTAAGTACTGTGACGTAATCAGTTAATATTTAACTTCATCTATGAGATCTCCTTACTGGGTTGATATGAAATGTTAAATGGTCAACACCTAAGTAGTTGAATAACAAACTTTCATACATTAAATATAAATGAAAACTTGATTGATAGTTTCATAGTATTTCGATGGTGGATAGAAATGAAATCTAAAACGCGCACTTTATTCTATGTATGACTCGTCAGCGGGATATTCCTATGTCCCAAAATTGATGTATGATTGTAGGATATTGACTTTATAGGTCATTTACTAACCAATGAAATAAAATCTTGACCATCAGGTTTAAAATCTCGCTAGTAAAATCAAGAAAATGTGTAT